ATATATATTTAACAATCAAATTTTAATTTTTTTTACATTTATAACACTCAAATCTTTCACATCATATAACACTATTGCTAATTTTAAATAGATGAAACATTTCCTTTAAAGCATATATAAAACAATATTAATGTAAAAAAATTAAAGAATATATACAAAAAAAATTTGTGATATGTATGTAAATTTTACAAAATATATTGGTAGACCTCAGTGTGAGAGCAATCGGACTACTTGGGGTTTCAAGTTGGAAAAGAAATGTGAAATAAGGAGGAGAGTGACATATTGAAAATACAATAAAAAATGAGGCAACTTATATAAAATATATATTTTAGTTATTTAGAGTGCGATTTATATTCACTATTATTAGACATGATAAAAATAGAAATAGGAGCTTCGACTAGCAGCTTCAGATAGGTTCTTTGGTGGATTCCTATCAACTTCTTTTATTACAGGCTACAGTTGCCAAGTGGACGTGCTTTCACTAACAGCCTAGGTAGGAATGGTCAAACATTCGTAGTGGCAGACAAGATCTCCGCCGATACCCCTAAAATATGAGCTCATAAAGAAAGTCTCGATGGGAAGCAAGTAGTTGATACATTCCTCAATAGAAAAACCCATTTAAGGCAAGTTGCAGACATTATCTCCACCGTACTTCTGGAAGACGACAACTCTCAATAGAGAGCTAGTGGTGGATATGTTCCTCACTAGAAAGTCCACTTAATGGCAAGTGAAAGACAAGTCTCCACCCATAACCCTGGAATGTAAGCCCAAGAGGCAAGTCTCTACAAAAAGCTAGTAGTGGATACATTTCTCACTAAACATACCACTTGAGGTCAAGTGACAGACAATGTCTCCACCCATACCTCTTAAAGACGAGCCCAGAAGGCAACTCTCGATGGAAAGTTAATCGTGCATACGCTGCCCTAGAAGGTGAGCCCAAGAAGCAAGTCTCTATGGGAAACTAGTAGTGGATACATTCCTCACTAGAAAGATCTCTTGAGGGCAAGTGACAGACATGATCTACACCCTCTAGAAAATGAGCACATTAGGCATGTCTTCAAGGGAAGCTAGTATTGGATACATTCCTAGCTAGAAATACCTCTTGAGGGAAAATGATAGACAAATTCTCCACCCATACCCATGAAAAACAAGACAGGAGGTAAGTTTCGATGAGAAGCTAATTGTGGATACATTCCTCACTAAAAAGACTCCATGAGAACAAACAATTGATAGGGTCTCCAATCAAAAGTCTCAAAGGGCTCCAAGCCTTAGAATGTACAAATATATCAAAATTTCAGCAAACGCAAGTTTCGGAAGGCACAAACCTCATAAGAAATGTGCCTCAAAAGATACATGACCTTTTTTATACAAAGCACATTTAATAAATTTAATCACTGACTTCTACATATTTGGAAGCCAAAGAATCTCTTAAGGCATAAGCTTTAGAAGAGTTGCCACTATGCTCCTACCACAAAGACAAAGGCATCAAAAACACCCCAAAAGTGGGGCAAAAATATCCTAGAAGATGGGCAAGTACAACTCAATGGAAAAGACAAAATCTATGTGAAAATTTTACTACATCAAGTAAAAGAAGTGTATACAAACAAATGCACCATCATCACGTACAAATGCTACATTAAGCGACTAGAAATCTACAATGAACAACGCTACTAGTATAAAGGCTATAGCAAGTCAAAAAATACTCTGATTCATTACAACTTCCTCCTCATTATTAGAAGGCCCACAACTTGATGTTCACTTGTTTAAAAGCCAACATTCTCGCTTGAAATGCCTACAAAGTCTCTGCATTCTGATAAAGGAGTTATCATTTCTTATACTCACAAAGGCATGGTTGATCTTTGCAAGCTCGATCTTTCATGCCCTCAAAGAAAGGATCAACTCATTTTCAAGTGGTGTCTGCACCGCCTCCTCAAAATTTTGGCACTGTCGCAAATTTTTTAAAGGGGAGAATCTCCATATATCAACATCTCAACAACGTAAAAATTCTCCTCCAAAAAGCACAAAAGCAAGCATAACAAACATATGTTATTACAACTCCCTGCTAAGATCTATGTAACCAACTACAACCTAAGCAACTCACAACTCCGGCCTTTGTGGCATATGGACGATATTACAACTCTCTACTATAACCTATGTGACAAACTACGACCTACGTGGTTCTCAGCTTAAGTAGCTACCAACTCTGGCCTCTATGACTTATAGACATTTTACAGCTCGCCACTACAGCCTATGCTGCTCACACTGCACAGAACTCCCAACTCTAGCTTCTACGGCTTACGGGCATTATTACAACTCCTGTCATAACCTATGTGACTCACAATTCATGTAGCTCCTAACTCCAATCTTTGAGGTCTACAGACGTTATTGCAGCACCCCGCTATAAACTATGTGACCAATTACAGCCTAGGCGTCCCGCAGCTCACACTGCTCCCAACTCTGGTCCGTATGATCTACAGATGTTATTACAGCTCACCGCTACAGTCTATATGACCAACTACAACCTACACAACTCATAACTCACACAAATCTATGATGATCTTTATGAGCAATTAATGCTTCTAAAGAAACCATTTACGACCCACGTGGTCAACTAATATCATGGTTTTCAACTACGACTTCTAAAATAAGTTGGTGCTACAACAAGTGTCTACAACATTAACGACGGGCTACTATCTCCATAACAAGTGACTACGGCCCTTGCAGCTTATTGTGACTATTTTGTTGAAATATCATTTTACATCAACTTTGTAATTCTATCATCCCAAACTTAGGAGAGAGCCTTTATAACCACCATTACATATTGTATTATTTCAACTGGGATAAGGTCGTGATTTTTTTCTATTTATAGGGTTTTTCACATAAAAAACTGAGGTGTCTCCTCCTGATTACTCTTATATTATCTGAGTGTGTGTTGAATTTTCATGTAACAGTAAATAATCGCACTACTTTGCAAATCTTCCGACACTCTTAAACTTATCTATTATTTTTTTATCAATGATTTTGTCCATCCACATATAGCAAGGATGGTTTCTACCTTTTAGAGGAAATTAAACGGTTATATGAAAACTTGAGAAAGATGTGGAGGCTAAGACGATTATAGATCGAAAACTGGTAGTGCAACATGAGAGATCATTATTAAAGGCATATTTTAATGATAATAAAATCA